AATAGTCTTTCCTATAAAATATCTTTCCATGAACCTTAACAAACCTATCTGCCAAAACATATTATAGATTCTGAAAGAACACATAGTGGTGCCAGAATATAATGAAGCAAGGCTTTGAAATGCGCATGTGGCGCATGCATATTTTTTTAAAGAGAAACTGCAAACCATAATTTATTTCTAGGTATGCACATAAAAGAGATCAGTCTAATACACTTGTTATAGTTAAATACACTGGGGTTGATTTACTAAAGGCAAATAGGCTGGTCGCTTTCAAGGGAATTTTCCCTTAGCTTAGCGAATGGGGTAAAATTTACTTTGCAAAGAACGAATCCAATCACGTGAGGAAAATAAAAACAGCCTTTTTGCAGGCACATGATTGGACGATAAGGGTCAGCAGAGCTTCCCTTTATTTACTTAGTGAAGTGAAAGTTGCCTTTCAAAGTGACTAGGCTGTTTGTTTCGAATACAACAACCCCATTGTTTTCTTGTATAGTTATCTAAGGAGATGTAGCAATATTAGTGCATTACATATACAACCTCTGCTTCCATCTCATCTTCTCCTCTCACTTAAGGTCTTTCTATTTTTTTTTTGATTGGAAACAGACTCAAGATATTCTCTGAAATACACCTTATGTATGCCATACCCTATATATACCATATGACCCAGAATGCCTAGTCTAAGAAGGGTTGGCATTGGCATTTTTTATTATAATAAGAGGTATGTTTTAAAAAATAATATTGTGATTTTGTAATGCTGATGGGTGCTCTCCTATGTGTGACTTGTAACCTTAGGATAAAAATTGTGAAAGACTTACCTTTAAACAAAGCTTTCCAGCGGTGTGCTGTCACTACTGAGGGGGCTTCCATCTTCACCCGGTCTTCCTTCCATGTTTGTGGGTTGTGGCCACTTAAATGGACCGAGCCACGATGACGTCACTCCCCTGCGAAGGCTGCAGGACACAGCATATGCATGCCATTCCTTCCGAGCGCATGTGTCGGTGACATCACCAGCTGCTGTTTACTAGAATATCTCCTAAACCGTACACGTTTTGGGGATATTCATTTGCCTACAAGTAAGCTTTATTGTAAGCTTACCTGTAGGTAAAAATAAAAAAGGAGTTTACTATCACTTTAAATTCAGCACTCTAAGCAAATTTCCATGTCACCATTTCAATCTGAGCACTCTTCAAGAAACAAATGTTAATTATTAATGATGTTTAGAAAACACTCATTCTTAGCACTATTGGCTGATATGTATCAATTAAAGGTCACGCTTTTCTTGCTTCCACATTAGGGGCCCATTTACACTAACGTGTTGTGGTAGCACACTGATTATCACAATACACATAACAAAACAATTCCTGCCTCCATCAAGCTCCTACATGTGTGTGTCACTTACATTATCCTTTCCTATGACTGAATCTCTAGTTCTCTGGATAGCAGGGTTCATAGAGATCCCTGAATCCATGAACCCTGGACAGCCATAAAAAGAAATGGAGTGATTGGGGTGCATGCACAGTAGGAGCTAGGCAAGAATAGAACTTTCTTCTATAAAGTGACGTTCAGGGGCACAGATCTCTAGTAGTGGGACTGATGGTAAGTACATTGCTTTGTGACTTCCAATGAGGGGGAGGAAAGATCTAAAGGGCAACTTTGCTAAAAAAGCAAGAGCCCTTAAAAGAAATTTCATACAGAGAGAAATATGCAGACTACCATTGCCAACTATGTTGAATAGGACCCTAACCAAGAAAAACTAGTGGGGCTTTAGAGGTACCAAACGATATCAATAAACATGAATTATCTGGGAATGTGCTGGTATCATCAACTGGAATTTGTGTTTTGTTTTCTCTGAAGAAGCGGGCCTTGTCCCGTGTTGGAATTTTGAAACAAAGTACTTACTCATGGTCCAAAGTGTAAACTACATGTTTAAATGTTCATTAACACCTGTGATACTATCTGTTTAGGAGTTCTATACCAACCAATTCACTACATGTTTCCATTGTTAGCCATGTACCATTGTGTCTATCCTTGTCCACAGCTTAGCCTTTATGTCCTGAGGCTATAGTTTTTGGTTATATGTAGCTGATGCCCGTGACACCTTTTTGCATCTAAAACATAAGTAACATTTACTGTGGCCAGGTCTCATCTATTGTATTCTCTGATTCTCTATGTATATGTCTGATGATCATGCTCCACCTGTTGGTGGTTCTTTTTAACCTAATAAAAGGTGTTCAATTTTACAAACTGTCATTACATTATTGTTTAATTTATGTTTATTGATATGGCTTGGTACCTCTAAAGCCCCACTAGTTGTTCTTGGTTAAAATAATAATTTTTTATTATTCAACATAATTCTCATTAGGGGTGTGGTACCAGTAAAACCGTGTTTACAAGGGTATGGAGAGCCATTTTTTCTCCATCTCCCACTTCCTATACATTTAATACCATTGCCAACACCTTTTAAAAGCTGTTAACTGTCTGGATGTCCCAGGTTTTCCTTAGCTTCAATACTTTGGGGTTGATTTACTAAACCTAGAGAGTTCAAAATCTGGTGCAGCTGTGCATGGTAGCCAATCAGCTTCTAACTTCAGCTTGTTCAATTAAGTTTTAACCTGGACCCATAGAAACCTGGAACCTGGTTTCTGTGCAGAGTTTCACCAGATTTTGCACCCTCCAGTTTTAGTAAATCAACTTCTTTGTGTCAATGTCCTGGAACAAGTATGCAAATCAAGTGTTCTAACTTCATTAGCCCCACACAGCTTTCAAATCAGTAAATCCTCATACACAAGATGAGATTATCGGACAAATGAGCATCTGGTTTTTTTGCATGCTAGTCTCATATTGAAAATAAAGAGGCCACTAAAGTTATGAAAATTCTTGTACAACAGAATAAAAATTTGGAAGTGATGTAATGTATTGCATTGTATTTGTATTGTATTTTCGGACGAAAACTGTACTGATGAAAAAAAAATACGATCTGGTATTGTATGAGAAAAATTTTCATGCTTGTCCCTTTTTTTAATTTCAGATAAAAGCTGTGTACTAAAGATCAGACTATTGTATGAACTTTTGAAACCGATATTTTTCGTACGATTTTCTGATTGTATGTTCTAGGCTTAACTCCAAAACAACTGGCAACTGATGTGATCAATAGAAATCTCCATATTTCCCTCAGGGCAAGTTTCCTATGAGTCACATACACAGAATGCTGGCCTTGACTGGCAGATTAATTGACATATTTTCCGGTTAGTGTGACCACCTATGTCAGCTAAGGCTCAATCAGTCGCAGCCTAAAGGAAACCCGTAGTGAGAAAAATACGTTGGTTATAATTGCTGACCTCTTTCTAAAAAATGCTAGTTGTCTCTGTCCTCAATACTTTGAGTCACTGACCCAGAAAAACCTTGCAGCTAGTAAAGTCATAAAGTCATGACTCCTGATCTACAAGCTTATTCTAAACTTACAAAGTACTGATAGTTATTGGATCACCATGACAACCAGGAAAGTAGCATATTCAGAGAGAAAGGCCAGCATGACAGTCTATGATTTCTCATCTGTACATATTCAAGAAAACTGCATGTTTAGCAAATACGTATAAATGTTATGTACTTGTCACACAAAAAGACTTGGCGTGCTTTAAATGTTAAGTGTACCATGCATTTTACATTATAATTGCACAGCCTCCTTTAAATTAATTAACAGCTATGCAGTGCAAAGGTCTTTCTAAGTGAATACAAACTGAATACATTAATTAGCTGGACCCTCGCATTACATAGTTTTGGTAATCCTAAGGCTAGTGCTACACGGACGAATAGCTCGCTTTTTGACTAAGAGACTTAATTGCTTGATGACTGTTATTTCATTAGCACCATGTTGATTTGATTGTATAGCCAATGAGAAGACTGCCAACAAGTAGTTACATTTCTCCGCAGCAAAGAGAATAAATTGCCCATGTAGCCCTAGAAAAATGGATTTGTACAGTTAGATTGTCACATATATTACTATTCTGTATCTGTAGCCTTATTCCAACATCTCCCAAGTGAGAACAACGCAATAGGCTGGGATGGATTTTCAGAGCCATTTGACATTGGTTTACCTGTGGGTAGGCTGGAGACTGAACCCTCAACCTTTTCTCTGTCCTAGGCCAGAAGGTGCACATTTTTTTTTTTAAAGGCAAATTTGGAAGCAGGCTGGCCTATATTTAAGGGATGCATGACTTATGAATTGTAGTCATGATTCAGGAATGTTGGGGAAGTTGTATATCTTTGTAAAAGAAACATTTCTCTTATGGCTTGAACATATGGAGGGAAAACGAAGATAAACTCAGCTTGGGTTTCCATCTACATTGCTAAAACATACATTCAATACCACACACCTAAATGTATCTATGTAATCAAAACTTTTTTTTTGTTTTATCAGAATACGGTCACAACTTATCTGCAAGCTTGTTCTGAGTTAACAACTTAAAAGTATTGAAGTTATTTGGTCACCATGACTCCCAGGCAAGCAGAAGGAGAGACCAGCATAGCAGCCTATGATTATCCTTCTGCAACTAGATCAAGTGGTAAATAATTAAAAAAAAGCCTATGAGTACCTCATATATTGGTGCATATGACTATTCTACAATCCAAGTTTCCATCCAATTTATTTAATTTATCTTAGAAACTGATCTACCATGTTTTACCTATATAATCTGCGGCTTATGGCATATTTGGTCCAATACTGGCATAGTAATTGGCCCAAGCATAGATTTCTGCAGTCTGGGTAATGTAACACCACTGGCTTTTGCAATGCCTACATTTATTTTCTTTATTAAAATACAGTACCTATTCAAATGATCTATAATGAGATCAATAGACAGTGGACATTATAAAAAGACTGAATACGAATGAGAACTGCTTATTATGAATGCAGTTAGTGGCACTTTGAATGGCTGATAAGTCTTGACCATGATCGATCCCCAGTTCATCCTGGGATGCCAGTAAGAAAGTGGTAGAGTTTGTTATGGTCGTTTGGCTGCTTTCCTCCTCGTAGAAAAGTCCTGAACACGAATAGTGGGCGTGGCCATATTTGATGGCTGTGGTAAGGCCATGTGATAATAGTTGGGTAATCGGATGTCAAATCGAAACCCACTGTCCACAAACACCTTTTCATTTAATGCATAGAGTTTATCTGCAATGTCTCCCCTAATCAACACTGAAAAGAGTCTTGAGATGAAGCGGTGCTTGGCAAATAATAAATACAGTTTTTTCCTCCTCCAGGTAATGTATCGGCACTTTGTTTCTGCAGTTAGAGTTACCTGTAAAACAACATTTGCAACATTACAAAATGCCACTCTAAAACATGCATTGTTTCAATCAAAGCACAGCCTCCATTCTCTAGTACAGTGTTTCCCAGAATCTAGTCCACACAGGCCTCATCTTTTCAGTCAGATTTATGCAAAGAAAAAATGGATTCCGTTTCCATCAGTTTTTACACCTGTTTTTAGTTCAGTTCAGTTTACATCCACCTGTCAATGTCCTTAACAAACATGACGCATCCCTGCTGTCACCAGAATATAAACATTATGCCAACATTGTAAAATAAAATGGCGTGCTGTTCCCTACCCCCCAGATCTGGTTTGAATGTTGGGGAGACCACATGCCAAAAAGCAAGCAAAAAAATGGCATGAGCACCCCCCAAATGCATACCAGATCCTTATTTGAACATGCAGCTTGGCAGGCTAGGAATGGGAAGGATGCCGTGCATGCCCCCTGCCCAAACCATACCAGGCCACATGCCCTCAACATAGGGGGTGCTGGGAAGAGACCCCATGATTAGGACAAGGACCTCTTCCCCACAGCCCTAGCTGGTGGTTGTGGAGGTGTGATGTAATTGAAATCTGGCTGAATCTTTAACAAGGGGTCCTAGATCCTGCCCACCCCCTTATGTGAGTGAGCATGAGGTGGCAGCTCCACTTCCCCCCACTGCTTAATTAAACAAGGGGGAAGGCACAATGATGTCATAATGGGTGGGGTCACCCAGTGAAAAAATTGACCGTGCATAGACATGGAGGTGCACCTACATCACCGGACGATGTGTTTGATGTTGGATCTATGTTGTGGGACTTTTTTTTAAAGGACTTGTTAAAAACTCTGCTGTGTGTTTATTTACACTTGTTATTTTTTTGGGAATGAGTAGAGGTACTATGTATGTATGGTGATCTGGGGAAAAGTTGTGGAAAAGAGGCCCTTGTTCTCCCCCACATGTTGAGGCCAAGTGGCCTGGTATGGTTCAAGATGAAGGGGGGGGGGGGGGGGAAATCACACTCTTGCCACCCCCCCCTTTCCTATTCTGCCAAGCTGCATGTTCGGATAAGTGTCTGGTGGGGATTTTAGGGGGACCTCACACCATTTTATTTGGTCCTGTAAGGATTGGGGGGGGGGAACTGCACGCCATTTTTGTTTTTACTTTTTTCATATTGGCTCTTTTGTTTACATTCTGTTGTCTGCTGGGAATCCCCTGCTAATAGCATGGATGAGTCACTGGTTATTAGAATGCTGGTGGGTGTTGCCACCTAACAGATGCATAAACAGACCTTGTCCATTTACATCTGTTTACGTCCGTTTAGGTCTGCTTAGAAAAAAAGTCTTTATTATTGTTTGAAACCTATTTCTGACAAGTACCTGCTCTCACTTCCGATCTGCTCACCTAGTCGATCAGTGCAAAAGTTCTGCCCCCCCGCCCACAACCTCCTGGGACATGCCACATGTTCCAGAAGACTGCAGGATAATTGAGAATGCTCAGCACGTCTTGCACATGCACAGTGGGAAGCTGTCTGTGAAACACCAGGAAATCACAGGTGTCACAGTCAATAGGCTGCATTGCTAATTAGAGTATCCTGACAGTGAAGGAGTCCAGCTGAGTCCTCCACTGTCAAAATACAATGACACAGTAGAGAGGATATCTGCATGCACCTTAACATCTTCATGCAGGCCGAATGCAAATGTGCAGCCTCCCAGTGTCTGGGCCTAGACGCCAAGCGGCCGCACATTTGCGTTCTATTAAAAAAAAAAAACATATGTGCTGAGAGCGCGTGCCCTGCACGCTCCCAGCACACATGTCTGGTACTCATGGAAAGGTCCCGATCTCCTCTTTCGATCAGGACCTTTCCTGATCATGTGACTGCTGTGACGGCGTGTCACGGTGATCACATGACCCTAAACCCCGCTTCCCTGCTTCTGAAACCCTTAAAGGGCCGGGAGGGCGCCGGAGCCGGCACCAAGGGGTTAAATGTGCGAATGCGGGATTCGGTTCAGTTTTTTTATTCAACCCATGTATTGCAAGCTTAAGAGTTATTGGCATCATCAGGCAGTATAGTTAGCATCCCTACCTAACATATGCTTATAGTACAAGATCAGCCATACAGCAAGTCTGTGTTTTTTCAATCATTCAGAGCAGGCTGCCACAGAGAAACAAAAAAGCATAATCACTATGCTGCACCACTAAACAGGAAACACAACTTGTAAATGTGAGTATCAAATATAGCGGCTGCTAAATACAGATCGTTTTTAAACAATGACACAAGGAGTATAGATCCACTTTTAATAAAGGCCATTAATTAACCTATGGGAGCTATTTACCTGAAAAAGCCCTTCTTCAGAGGGTCTGAGTGAATCCCACTCCGGTGAATCCAAAAACTGGAGCGGAAAGATGTAATGAAGAAACTCACCATCGACTGTCACACGTATCCTGCCAAATTTGTAAGATATAATTCATAATATATTAAAAAGTGAGATCATTGATATGCGATTATTAAATAAGCCAGCACAAGGAGCAATGATAAAGTACAAAGTATAGTTACTGACCAATCAGAAATTACTGATCTGATTAGTTAAAAACTGACTGGCTGCTATGGTTTGATGTACTGTATACATACATTCTACCACTGCTTATTAAGCACCCAAGTTTAGTTATTGTAGATCATTGTCTATCAACACTGCATTTTTGAAACCTACAGATTTGTCACTCCAAAACATGCTTTCTACCACTTTAAAGCACTGCAGGGAAAAAACACTTTGTTTTAATTGCCATCTTGATTTAAACGATATGGAGACCATCATTACTGAGCTCTCCTGAAAATGGCAATTCCCTGATGGGTAAATTGACTACAGAGATATAGGCATTGTGTCATTGCTAAATGACCATGGCGGCAATCTGCTTTGGTGCTTGATGTGGTCAAGAGAAATATATATATATTTTTTATATATATCATCAGATTTTTTTTAACATATACAAAAGTAATTTTAACATATATTTTTACATATACTGGTAAATGCATTCCAAAAATGTAGATTTGTATTTTTAACTGTTTCCATACCGAGCACTTTTACCCCTTTCCTGTCCAGGCCATTTTTCAGGTTTCACACTTTGAATGACAATTGCGCGGTCATACAACATTGAACCCAAACTAAAATTTTATCATTTTCTTCACACAACTAGAGCTTTCTTTTGGTGGTATTTAATCACTGCTGGAGTTTTTATTTTTTGCTAAATTAACAAAAAAAGGCTGAAAATTTTGAAAAAAAAACCCACGTTTTTCTTTGTTTCTGTTAAAAAACGTTTGCAAATAAATAATTGTTCTTCATAAATTTAGGCCAAAATGTATTCTACTACATGTCGTTGGTGAAAATAACCCAAATTAGGATGTATTATTTGTATTGTTTGTAGGAAAGTTATAGAGTTCACAAACTATGGTATAGATCTGAATATTGATCAATCCTGAAGTACTGACAGCCAATCTAGGTCCAAGAATGTCAGAACAGTACAGATATCCCCCAAATGACCCCTTTTTGCAAAGTAGACAGTCCAACGTACTTCATAAGAGGCATGGCAAGTTTTTTGAAGTTGTATTTTTTTTTGTCATAATTGTTCGGAAAATTAAAAAATTTAAAAAATAATTTTCACTAATTTTTTTTTTACATACTGTCACCAGTGCAGTACAGAGTCATCATATAACTGGCATGGCGGTGATCAGGGACACTGACTGGTGACAGTATGAAAAAAAAATATAATTTTTTTACATTTTTTATTTTTTTTTAATTTTTTGTACGATTTTCTTTTCATATTTCACTATGACCAAAGTAGTACAATGTTACCATAGTAACATTGTACTACTTTGGGGAAGTGATCAGTATTTTTTTTTTTTTTTTACAATTTGCTTATAGCAAAGAATTACTTTGCTATAAGCAAGCATTTACCTGAATGACATCGATTCATTCAGGGTTTTTTTTTTTTTTTTGTGCTTAGCTGTGATTTGGCCACAGCTAATCACATGTGATTAGCCCAGCTTGTGCATGTGATCGCTGTGACCAATCACAGCTAGACGCACTAGTATACAATGGATGGCATGAATGAAGCCATCCATTGTATACAACAACTGTCATGTGACCTGCTGTGATTGGTCACAGCAGGTCACATGGTATCGACAACGGGGCCGGCACTCAGATCTGCCATCGGCCGTGTCCGAGGTACACGGCGCGGCTCTGCAGGTGCGCAAACTGCGCATGCCTGGGAGGACGCCATATGGCGTCCACCTGGAACACTAATGGATTTTGCACACCGCCATTGGCCGGGCAGCTAATGGTTAAAGATATACAGTATATTTGAAATGTACTTTTAAAAATATTTTTCATATATTATGTAATAAACATGCATTTCAATATGATATACTGTATATATATATATATATATATATATATATATATATATATAAAAATTTAAATATATTGAATATGGCCAAAATTGTAGCATTTGAAATATATGGCAATATATTTGGGAAGAATATTTTTCAAATATTTCAAATATATTTTCCTTCCATATGGGAAGAATTAATAAAAAAAAGGCTTGATAAAAAAAAAAAATTTGTCAAAACACAGACATATACATCTGGTTTTAGTTTATGAAGTAACATATGCTTTAAGGTACTGACTTGGAACAAGTATGCTGATCAGGAGTAGGAATGAGCTGGGTTCAGTCCAAACTCTGTCCACACACAGTTTAGCAGAACCCATGGGACTCTATCGGTTCTCCCTGGCCCAATCAGTCACCCTACACATCAAAGGGGGTGGGGATGCTCATAACATCATTGATCTACTATGGACACATGGCCATATTAGATCAATGTCATCAACTTAACAAGGCCTTGTGGCCATATTAGGTCAGTGATGTCACAAGTATCCCCACCCATTGTACATGCAACTCCAGGGTGGGGAATGCCCTGGGCAATGCTGATTGGGCTGGTGGGGATGTGATCATGTGACAGGTTTCCACGGGATCTGTCAAACTTGGTTTGGGCCGAGTTCTGACTGAACCCAAGTCATTCCTCAGCAGCAGCATGGACCTCACTGTCACATTCTAACCTGTGTACCTGTTCTGCCTGCTAGAGTATTTTAGCCAAGATCAGCCAAGCAGTGAATATTTGCAGAGGTCAGCGATGGCACCCTCAATTGCATAGGTTTCATTCAAAAACATTAATAGTTGCACAGAAGCAGGCATGAACATGACCACTTATAAACTCAGCACTTAAAGTGTCACTAAACCCACAACTGTAAAATCAGTCTGTATATGCAGTAAAGAATGCTTGTTATACTCACTGTGGAACCTAAGGGGTTAATCCTCCGCATTGTGTAAAAAGGATGTTGGATCCTGTCTTCTCTGACCCTTCCCTTCTTTCATGTTCCCCATTGTATCTCCTGATAGAACAGAGCCTTGGGGACACGCTACACATGCTCAGTTTGGTGTGTACTGATAGAGAGTTTTTTCTTTTTCGTGGGAGGGTGCATGTGATCAGCACAGGGCCAATCAGCACTGTCCAGGCAGAGGGTCAGGGGTTATGTAATCTCATAGGGTAGTGAGAGGAGAATGAAAACTCCCCCTACAAGCTTTAACATGTGCTCTGCTGAACACTGATAGAAGTCACAAGACTGCTCTAGCTGCTGATGAGAAAAGGTATTTAGCAGTTTATATTTACTAAAACATTTGCATTTCCATGTTATGTGTACTGTGGGAGACCAAATCCAGTGGGTGCAGGGTCCTGAGTTCAGTAACACTTTAAAGCACAACATAGTTCATCAATTATAATTCCAAAAGTTCTTCAATCTAAATGCTCACCCTGGTTGTTCTAGTTTTTAATGATTTTTGTTAAATTGTTCTCACCTTGTGGGATTAAAGGAAAAAGCAAATAACAGCCTGTGAGTCCATTTTTCCACCTAGCACAGCTGAACAGTGCGCATTTCTAAATCTCAATAATTATGTGGAAACCCTATAAGTGTTCACACTAGTTTCCTGTGGGTATGCCTCTGTCAAGGTGCTGTCATCTGATACATGGACCATTAGCAGGCCTAGGCAGTGACTGGGGTAACACAAACAGGCTCTTTGTCAGAAAGGAATTAAGACATATGGCTTTTTCTGTGTGTCCTCAATGGTCACACAATAAAGTACCGTTATGTATAAACTGCTTGGTAGTCATATTGTTACGCATGCTGCGTACAGTATAATACCATCTTTAATTGGGAGGATAAAAAAAGCTCACAGCCTATGCTAAATATAAAGACTATGACTATGCAGTAAGTAGCTGTGTACTATGGCATTCATCTTGCAATGCTGATCATTGACTAAATATAGTGCATGCTCCTCTTCTATCATGTTTGTAAATATACTATAATAGTGGGAATAATGTATACCTGTTGTATTATTATTATTATTATAATACAGGATTTATATAGCCCCAAGAGATTGTGCAGCGCTTTTCAACATGAAGGCAAACAGTACAGTTACAATACAATTCAATATAGGAAGAATCAGTGGGCCCGATCGCTAGAGCTTACAACAGACAAATTGAAATAGATTTTCAGATTGCAAGCTCTATACAGTGGTATCCAAATTTTTATAACTTTAAGTGTATCTCTTATGTGTCCTACTAAATGTTGGACATGTTAAATCTTATAGAACACAAAGTACTATTTGGAGAAAAAAGAAAGTTAACTTTACAAGGTTATCTGCATGTCACTGACAGTTATAAATTATATCTTGGCACTCTTTTCAAACTGAATGTCACAAAGGATTTCACTCCTTTCCTGCTATGAGTAATGTAGCCATTACTGTCCAAGGAAGAGTTATACAGACTTGCTCAATTACAGTTGCAAGAAAAAGTATGTGAACCCCTTGGGATTACGTGGAGTTTTGCATGAATTGGGCATAAAATGTGCTCTGAACGTCATCTAAGTCACAACAATAGAAGAACACAGTCTGCTGAACATAATACTACACAAACATTAGATGTTGCCATGGTTTAATTGCACATAATATGTAAACATTCACAGTGCAGGGAGAGGAAAAAGTATGTGAACCTTTGGACTTAATAACTGGTTTGACCCTCCTTTGGCAGCAATAACCTCAACCAAACGTTTCTTGTAGTAGCAGATCAGACCTGCACAACGATCTGGAGTAATTTTGGACCACTCCTCTTCACAAAACTGTTTCAGTGTAGCAATATTCTTGGGATGTCTGGTGTGAATCGCTCTCTTAAGGTCATGCCACAGCATTTCAATCGGGTTGAGGTCAGGACTCTGACTGGGCCACTCCAGAAGGCGCATTCTGTGCTGTTGCAGCCATTGTTTTGTTGAATTACTTGTATGCTTTGGGTCATTGTCCTGTTGCATCACCCATCCTCTGTGGAGCTTCAGTTGGCG